ACTCCTCATGACCTGGAGGTAGCGGTGTTTGGAACGAGCTGATTATGCTGGGCACACTCTGAGGAAATCTCAAAAAGGGTCAAGGCCATGCAAAAGTACTTCTGTTAGGACAGCCACTGAGTTGATAACGACCTAAGAAGACGAAACGAAAGTCAGCTTCGCCGGCAAGCTGACAACGAGGCGATGCAGTACTGAAAAGACTCAATGGGTAAGTTGCCGGATGCCCAGTTCAAGGAAGAATTTGCGAAGGAAGGCTGCAGCTGATATACGCATGTATATTTTTGCATGTATATTCACCACGTTTGCCCAAAATATCACTAGAATCGTGAAAACTTATAGAACTATCAATGAAAGTAGCCTAATTCGCTTAGACTACTAGTGAGGACTCGGTCAGTCTGGCGGCCAAGACTCTAACAAGCTATAAGCCTACAAAAGAAAACAATTTTTTTCCACAGAAATGATGTTACTAGAAAAAATATTTGTCTAACTAGTCACAAAAGTTTTGGTACTCCGGCAGCAAATAAGAACAATTCGCTTCGCGTAGAATGTGAAATACGGAGATAAAGCTCAGTATATGCATACATACACCCATACCCATACACAGAAACGCACGTTCATACTCGCAAGCACATACACATAGCCATGGCAACATAAACAAGAACAACCGAGGAGAAAACATACTTCGGGAGTGAGGCGAAGAAAATGTTTAAATCCAATATATTAAGAGTGTCGATACTGTTCATAACCACACTGATCAAATTTGTGCACCTAAAAATGAAAACTTTCATTGTTACAGTGAAACAGAGTATTTGCTTGACAGAGCTGCTACGAGCTTAATGGACCGAAACATTTCTTAACAAAAAAAACATTTCAAAATGTTTCATAACATTTTTTTTGCTAATTAAAATGAAGCTGACTTTCTTCAGCATGCCAGATAAACTTCTCTAAACCATTATTCTCACTGTTATGCGTTTTTGTCGTGCAGCACTAGAGCGCTGCAACAGACAGCAAAAACACCTATTGCGACGACCCTGTCAGTATGTGTATGTGTGTGTGTGTTTGTGTGTGTGTTCGTGTGTGTGTGTGTTTGTGTGTGTGCGTTTGTTTGTGTGCGTGTATTCATCCGTCCGGGTATTTCAGCTCGCCAACCACGCAAGCTTTGAAGCTGAAATTTTGCCGATGTGCTCCCCAACCAAGTGCTACCCCAGTGTCGCAGTATCAACCCTCACGCACGTCTGGGCCACGCGTACTAGCACGTGAAATTTTTGGCGGGAAAACTGCTAACTCGGCAACGAGAGAAGCTAAAAAGCTGAAACCTTACGGTAATGTTCCCTATCTGTGTATGGCAAAAAGTTTTCAAATTCAGCTGCCCAGAACTGCCCGGGGCTTACGTACGGGCACGTGAAAATTATGGCGGGTAAATTCGTAACTCAGGAGTGGGGAGAGCTAGAAAGTTGAAACTTTAGGGGAATGTCCACTACTCATTTACGACCAAAAGTTTTCAAACTCAGCTCCTCAGAACCGCCCGGAGATTACTTTCGAGGCCAGCATCTCAAAAGAAACGAGTTTTTGACTTTCGCTCTAAAAAAACGGCAACAGATTGCGGATAGCTGCGAATTAAAAGTGTTACAAACCTTTTTGCAATAGCAATCAGAGATTGTGCGACAAGTCGGTAGCAACCGCCGATTCGGAGTGTATTAAGGGATAACGGAAGGGATAAAAACGAAGGCATCCCAGTGAGTCGCTCATTCTCGCTCACGTCCAAATTTGTCAATCGTTGGCACTTCGAGAAAAATGATGAAAGACCGCTCTCCACAACACTTTCCTGCAAAAAAAAGGAACTCAGAAAAGGCTGTCAAAAAGCAAATCCAACATTACCACCACAGTACATTCGCTGTGGATTAAAAAACTGCATTTCTGTTCGAGAAAATTTCAATAATTGTAGCAATGCGAGATGTCATGCGAACAACAGGAAGGTCATCGATGCGGAAGACAGGGTTATCGTTACTTGGAGAACCTGCAGAATTACGTGTAGATGCGGCACATGTGGAAGCAAATGACGACATTCCCAGCATAAGAACAACACAAATGGACTGAGGTGTATTATTCATCACAAAACTCGAACAGGCGTGGCACCCAATCAGTGCTACCGGTGGAGAGACAGTGCAAAAAAAGCTATTTTCTGTTCCACAGATCTGTAATGATGAGTTACATAATTACTATAATAATTGCTATAAGTGTTGTGCTTACGGAGATACAGTTATGGCGCTGAAATAAAACTCAGTGAGCCAAAACCTTTTGTTCTGTAGCAATAGCAGTAACTCTCACTGAAAAATGCTTATACTTAAAAGCATTTACATATCCAGATTAGCTACGTACGCTTCTCCCTGCCATAAATTGATCCCGTTGGTAGAAAGAGTTCGACCTATCTGGATGTCCACGTCACTAAAAAATAAATGGCCAACGCACGGGCTGCCCGTGCGAAGATGCGTTTTTTGCAGAGT